TTTTGCTTGGGTTTCTTGTGATTCTTGAATCTGTGGCTTTATAGTTTCATCAAATTTTCACAATTTTCAACATTGTTTTTCAAAGAAAATTTTATATCAACCTTGTTTCTCCTGTTTTACTTCTTGAAGTTGTTCCATAGCTCACTGTTGTTCATTTAGATTTTTGATTTATCTTTCTCTTATTTATTTATTTATTTATTCACTAGATTATCAGTTTGTTATAAAAATGTGAAACTCAGGAACAGCCAGATGAAAGAGATATATAGGGCAAGCTGTGGGGAAAGGGCATGGAACTGCCATGCCTCTCAGACAGTTGCTATTGCTATGTCTCCAAGATCACTAATTACTTCTTGGGGAATGTTTATTCTGTAGTTAATCCTATCCGGTGCAATTTTTCTTCTTTTTTTTACCCTCAGACACTATCATTTTCATCGTATCTTTAGTATCTCTACTTTTTTGCACATATGGAGCATAGTGATAATAATTGTTTTCAACGTTTTTGATTGCTAATTCTGGCATGTTTGTCAGTTCTTGGTCGGCTTTCACCATCAAATTTTCTTCTCATTGTGGTCATGTTTTACTGCTTTTTGCACCCGTGGTAGTTTCGGATTGAATGCCAGATATTGTGGCTATTTCCATGCTTGGTGCCAGATATTTTTGTATCCTTATAAATATCCTTGAGCTTTGCTCTGCAGCACAGTTAAGTTGCTTGGAAACTGTTTGATCCTTTCCAGTCATGCTTTGTAGATTTGTTAGTTGTAACTGGATCAGAGCTCTGTCTAGGGGTAATTATCTCCCACTACGGAGGCAAGTAAGTCTTTTCTGTGTACTCTATCCAATGCATCATAATTTTTTGGAATTTTTATGAGTTTATTTGAGCCAAACTGACATTTTTGGGAAGCAAGATCTCAAATGCTCCCTGCATCATGAATCTTAAGGTTTTCCAGGCTGGCTGGTGTGAACAGGCACTATTCCCAGCCTTGTCCGAGCTCTGAGCATTGTTACCTATAATCCCTTCAGCATTTTCTTCCCTGTTTCCCTCACGTATGTGTACAGATCAGTACTCAGCTAAATACCCGAGGGGAGTCCTCTGCAGATGTTGGGGTTCTGTCTCTGTACAACTCCCTTTCTTCAGGATTCTGTCCTGAACACTCTATTTGCCTTGGTCTCTCCAGATTTTCAGCTCCATTTCCTTTAGGAAATCCTTTAGGAATTCCTGAGGGAGCTCTCTCTCTTTTTCTCTCTCTGGAAACTTTCTTATGAGAGAAAGCTGGGAAAATTTTAGAGCTCATTTGTTTCTTGCCTCAGAAATCACTGTTCTTCGTTGCCGGATGTACAGTGTCTTGCAAACTAGTATTTCATACACAGCAATACCTTGGTTTGCGAGCACAATTCATTCCAGAAGCAAACTACTCGTATTGCAAAACATTGCTCGTTTACCAAGTTAAAGTGTATTAGAAATATTTGTTCATCTTGAGGAACACTCGCAAACCAAGTTACTCGCAATCCAAGGTTTTACTGCATTTTGTCCATTTTTCTTGTTTCAGGCGGGAGGGTAAGTCCATTTTAACCAGAGGGGGAGGTTCTGAAAGAGATTTTTATTTGGATGAATAATGCAAGTGTTTTGAAGTTGTCCAAATTATATTGTATCCAAGCCACTTTGAAGCTTTATTTTATACTATCAGCAATGAAAAATAGATAGGTATGGAGGTTAGAAAGATCTAGATTTGAACCTTGGAATTACCATTTAATAGGATGTGATCTTGGGCAAGAAATGTAACGTCCCTCAACCTCAGTTTAATCTTTGATAAAATGAGATGGAATATTGAACATCAAACTGTGATTAAAAAAATTTTTTTAATGAAAAAAATTATTTTAAACACAAGATTCTATGCTATGTTGTTTACTTATAGCAAAATATTGACTATAGATTGGGTAATGTTAAAGTAAGCCGGAGGTAATTAATAGTTTTGTACTTCCATGAAACATCTAAAAATAATGAGATAGATCTATATGTATTCTTAGGGAAAATGTTAATAACATACTGATAAGTGAGTAAAGCATTTTGCAGAAAAATGTGTGTGTGTGTGTGTGTGTGTGTGTGTGTGTGTGTGTGTGAAGAAAACACCATCAGGAAGAATATATGACATAGAAACTCTCCTTTTTTAACTTTAAAAACAGCTGTATTTAAGAAATAATGGATACATATTAATTTCTTTCTCAATAAAAAAAGTGAATAACGAAAACAAGCAATTTTGTTTTATTGAGAGATAATAGGTGCATGTGGCACAGTTCACACCGTGAATGCCCAATAGCCAAAAAGCACCAGGAGCACACATGTAGTCAGACAAAGTTAGGCTTATTTTGTGGGCTGCAGCAAGGGACAGAGTACCCCAGAGAGACCGGGTGAGGGACGAGAGGGACTTGGGAAGGCCTCTTCTAGGATTTAGGCTTGTGCTGGGTGATGCTAAGGATTGAGGAAGTGGAGGTGAGCTCTGTTTTGAGTGTTATCAGGACTTAAGTGATTGGGTGTTTTGGTCATGTATATCTAAGAGAAAAACAAAGTGGGTAAAGAAGGAGTAGTTACTAATTTTAGTGGGAAGAGGGGACTGTTGAGCTATTTTTCTGGTCACTGAGTCCTTATCTCGTTTCAGACGTACTCAGAGTGGCCTTTTCCCTGTCTGGTTCCATCTCAGCTATGGAGCGGCCTTGTCTAATTAGCGCTTGTGTTCTGTAAAGGCTGTTTATGTTCAGTTGGGAACATTATGGTTAATATGTCAGTTGTCATCTCCAGGGCCGTTTTATAACTTCTTGTACCATCAATAATTTCCTTTCTCCATTTATATTTTTATTTTGCTGAAGATACATGATCTACTGAACTTTGGATTGAATTATGCTGACGTATTGGCTCTAACCCTGTACAGTTTACTGTGGTCCTCAGATGCCGGAATCAGGCTCGGCTGAATAGGAACAATGCAATTTGCTTTATATACAGCAGGTTTGTCTTTAGGTTTTCTTCCTGGGCTTGTGCAGGCTGACTGCCCACCCAGTGATTTCTCCACAGAGAGATTTTATAGCTGAGGCCTAAGGGATTAGAGCTTGAGCATCTGTGGCCCTAGGGGCTGAGGCAAGATCAAAGAAAATAACCACTATCAGTTAGTTTTCTGCTGAAGGAGAGAGGAACACCCCAGAGGGCAAAGTTTTCATGGTGGAAACCTTGGGAGACTTCTTACTGACTCTGTGTGTGTGTGTGTGTGTGTGTGTGTGTGTATTGAGATTCTTATACTATCTGTCACACCTATGTTGAAATAATCCTTATGAATACTCATTACTATTAACACTTATTGAGGGTTTATTAGTGCCAGGTACTATGATTTCTATTCATTATCTTATCTATTACTAACAACAAACTAAAAAATCTCATGAGATATGCATTGTTATGAGAAACAAGGTTTCAAAGCTTAGTTAACTTACAAAGGGGCACTTCTGATGAGTGGCAGGGTTAGGACATAAACCACATTCAAAAAGATTTTAAATCCTATGCTCTTAAATACTACTTCCCAGTGGTGCATGCCATTAAGGCAACCTTCTGCATATATAGATACTTATAAATGCTAGGTTCTAATATTACTGAATCAGCATCTCCAGGGCTGGGCTGTAGTTATTTGCACTTAAAAAGCATTTTCCGGTCATTGAAATGCTGCAGTCCACAGGTTGGTATTTAGAGACTAATAGTGTAGGCTACAAATATAACTTACAGTTGGGAAGCTGTCCATCTCATTGGTTTTTGTCATTATTCATTCATTCAATATTTATAGATACCTACTGTGTCTAAGGCTCTACCCCAGATATTAAAAGGTTATCGAAAATAAATGTATCTCAACTGCCTTATAGATTATAGTGAGGGTATTTTATGGCAATAAATAATTTAGATAGGAAGTAATACATAATAAATGATATTATTGATACAAATCAAGTGCTGTGGCTCTTCAGTGGAAGAAGAAATTGTTTCCAGGGGTAGAACGTTGGCAAGAAACAAGTGTTGAGCTGGGAAAACTTCAGGGAAACACTGACCCTTGAAATCATAGTAAGATTTGGGCATATGAAAGGTGTTGTTCACGTGGTGTATGTACTCATGAGCTGTCTGTGGCTTTCTGCCTTTGAAGAAATGATTGTGTTATGAGAGGGCTTATGGAGAGGGCCTTGTGACAAAGAACTGTGGATAGTCTCGAAGAACTGGGAGCAGCTCCTGGCTGACAGGCAGCAAGAAGGCAGGAATGTCAGTCCTGCAACTGTAAGGAGATGAATTCTGCCAATAACATGAGGGAGCTTGGAAGCACGTCCATCCCTACTTGGGCCTTCTGATGAGCTCCCAGTCCCGGGTGACACCTGATTGTAGCATCTCGGAGGATGCAGTTGAGTGGTGTCCAGATTCCTGACCAATAAAACTATAAGATAATAATCATGTCTTTTTTTTAAGCCCCCAAATGTGTGGAAATTTGTTATGCAGCAATAGATAAAGATTTTACAATTACAACCATACAGATTTATTTCCCTATTGAAGAATATTCACTTTTTTGGTCTTGTCTTCCTAAGCAAAGCTACAATAAACATCCTTAAATATGTGTCCTTGTAGACTGGAACTTTTATTTCCATAGGCCAACTGGAAAGGCTGAAGTTCTGGATTGAAGATTATTTTTGTTTTAAAAAGATATTGCCAGATTCCTCCTAAAGTGAAGTTAACACTTCAGTTTTCCATTAACAATATGTGAAAGCATCATTTTCCTTACATCACAGCAATTAATAGGCGTTATCATTCTTTTCCAGTTCTTGCCAGTCATGTCACTATAAAGTGGTTATCTCATTGTTACTTTAATTTACAGCTTGGTCTTAGTAAAAATGAGCAACTTTTCCTATTTTCTTTGTTTTTCGGTTTTGATTTCTTAAAAATTAGCACTGTTGGTCTGGTTGTTTATAAACATAGACAATTGAGGATCAAACTAGAAGCACGTCTTTCCAATCCTTTTTAGGGCTTCCATCACATCTTGGTTTCTCAGGCTGTAGATGAGGGGGTTTAACATGGGGATTATAATGCCATAAAACACGGAAGCCATTTTTTCTTGCTCCTGAGACTCATTGGTCCCAGGGTGTAGATACATGTAAGACAGAGTCCCATAGAAAATGGTGACCGCTGTCAGGTGGGAGGTACATGTGGAGAGGGCTTTTCTCTTTCCTGCAGCAGAAGATATCCTCAGGATGGCAGCCAGGATATGTATGTAGGAAAAGATGACAACCAACACAGTGAATGTCAAGTTAATCCCCACAAAGACCATTATGAGCATGATGTTTAAATCAGTGTTGGAGCATGAGAGGGCAAGAATTGGGGGTTCATCACAGAAAAAGTGGTTAATTTTATTGGATTTGCAAAAGTTCAGTGAGAAAATAAAACTTACATTTACAGAGGCATTTAGGAAACCCATGATGTATGAACCAACTAAGAGTAGAATGCAGACTCTGTGGGACATGAGTGTTGGATAGCGGAGTGGGTGACAGATAGCCACGTATCGGTCTACTGCCATTGCTGAAAGGATATAGCAATCGCTTGTTGCGAAAGTACCGTAGACTAGTAATTGCACCATACATCCTATGAATGAGATGGACTTTTCTGTCCCTACAAAGTTTTGCAACATTTTGGGGGTGATAGCAGAGGTGTAGCAGAGATCAACAAATGCCAAGTGTTGGAGGAAAAAATACATAGGGGTGTGAAGGCAGGAATCAATCTTGATGAGTAGGATTGTCCCAATATTACCCACTAGGGTGGCCACATAGATCACTAGAAATACTATGAAGAGGATATGCCAAGACTTGTGTTGACCAGCAAATCCCAGGAGGATGAATTCAGTCACTTGAGTGTCATTGTTTTGCTCCATGGCTAGGAAAGACTAAGTATCAGCTGAAAAGGTACAAAGAAAGAAGAGCAGAGAAAGCTAAGATCATTGTGATAACTAGCTCTGGAACTGGACATGGTATAACATTTGGTTTCATAGTGGAGTCAGGGAATATTTTCAATGACATAACTGACATTTTAAAGGCTGAACCTTGACACCTGACTTAGATGACTTCATCTATGTACTGGACCAGTAGCTGTGTTCTTAGGGTGTCAATTGGCTGGCATTTCATAAATACATCAATTAGGGAACATATAAAACCATACTTATATTTAATTATGCTTTCTTTTATGCTCTCGGTGTTTTAACTGGAAACCCCAACGTGCCTAAATACGAATCATTATATCTGAACTTTTGACATACTTATATAGTTCTAGATGATCTTATTCCAACTTACCTCTGTATTCTTATTTTATCCTTTCCCTCCTTCCTAGGAACTCTTCTGTACAATCAAGGATTCATGGGCGTGTGGGAGCTCTTATCAAAGTATGCACCAGTGTAAACGTCTACTAATTGTACATGGATGGCGGGGCAGGGGGTGTGTGTGTTTCCATGTTCTTAATTCCTTGTGAACATGGTATTTTCCCAATTATTATTATTTTTTTGGCCAGCAAAAGTTTCCTTTTTATATTGGACTGCTGGCACAAGGTATTTGTCGTGCCATGACACTTTATATCATACATATAATTTGAAAAATGCTACTTGTGTTTTTCAATAATTATGTTTTAGAAAGAAAGCAGACTAACAGCATAGAAAGCATAGTCAGTGTGTGTGTGTGTGTGTGTGTGTGTGTGTGCGCGCGCGCGCGTGCAAAATATTTAAATGTTTTTAAGCCATTTGACTTGTTCTTTTAAAATTTGCTCACACAAATACTTGTTCCAAATTATGTTATAGGAAAGTTATACCAAACGTTTATGGAACAGCTAATTCTAATATTATGGAACCTTTTCACATAACTGGCAAAAGAGTTCATTCCCCCGCTCATGTCTTGAGGCGAATGGAACCTTGTAACAAAGTAAAATTTGAGAAAAGAAAATTGGAACCAATCTCACTTGTGAATATAGATGCGAACAGCTTAAAAAAATATACACCCACAATCAAAACCATCCATGTATGAAACGAATGATTCCTGGGATCTCAAAGGGGTTTCCAGTGAATAGCTTTTCTCTTCCTTTCCCAGGATTTGAACAAGCTGATAAACAAAATAAAGTGTCTATATGGAGACCATGATATCACGGTTAGACACTTGGGGGAAGACTCTATTTGTCAAGCTACTTGCTGCCGATGAAATCCACAGCTAGACAGGCTTCTCCACCCAGTCTTGGTGGCAGTGACTGAGGGAGGCCTCCGGCATATTTTGAGGGAAGTGCCTCTGGAATGCCTGGGAATGTGGCCTTTAGCAGGCTGGCTGCTTCCCCGAGGATGAGGGCAGAGCAGAGCATGCCAGGTTGTGCTTTGATTTACCAATCAGTCATGTTACTCCTCTCTAGCAACTGAGTGAAAGAAATCAGGAGAGAGAGCCCACAATTACATAAATTGAGGTCCCTTTGCAAGAAAGAAACTTCAGAAACAAGGGAAAATGTAATTTCCAATCCGCAATCAAGACGAAGTTATATACACATTATATTTTCCCCCGATATTTTCATAAATTCAATGTCATTCTAATCAAATGTTTGCGAGAATTTTATGTGCTCAATCACAAACTTGTAAAAAGTATATGGAAGAGAAAAGAGCTAAAAATAGCTAAGAGAGTTTTAAAGGAAAACAAGGTGAAAGCCTGCTCTACCAGGTATCAGAACTTGTTATAAAGAGAAAATACTAAAGGCAGTGTGGTATTAGGGTGAAGGCAGACAAATAGATCAGCAGAACTGAGAAAAAGAAATTATAAAATGGCCCACAGGTCTATGGATGGTTAATATAGGAAAACAATACATGGACATCAGTGAAATATGGGCCATTAAACTGTGATGCTACAAATGCTTAAACAGGTGAAAGAATAATATTGTATTCCTACTGTACATTTTATAAAAGTCAATTCCAAATGGATTAAAAATTGAAATTGTGAAGCTTTGAGAGTAAAACAGCAGACTATCTATGACTTAGACATGCAGAAAAAATTTAAACAAGATATGAATGCACAAAACATAAAACACTGAAAATTCAACTATATCTAAATTAAAAATACCACCATTATAAAAAACAAAAGACTGAACATTGACTGGAAATTTAGTTAGGTAAATTTGTTTGCAACACTTATAAATGTCCAGTATAAATACATAATTTCTATAAATTTTCCAAGGGAAAAATTCACAAAAGGCATGATTGGATAATTATAGAAGGGAATGTAGAAATGGAAATATGAAAATATATGCAATTCACTAGTAATCAGGTAATTGTATATTAATACTGTATTGAAATATAATTTTATACTCAGTCTAAAATACAAAGTTTTGGTGAGATTGTGGTGTCACACGTTTCCGATGGGAAGGTAAATTAGTACAGACATGTTGGAGACAAATTTGGAATAATTAGTAAAATTAAATATATGCCTCCATATGATCCAGATTTTCCATCATAGGTATGTATTCTAGAAAAATTGCGACCACATAAACAAGGACATACACACACACACGTATGTGTGTTTATGAGTATGTATACATGTAAATATACACACACAAGAATGTTCATCATAAAAGAAATAGAAACATACCGCTGGAAATGCAGTAAACTGATGCTGCAACATCTATGTGGATAAATCTCTAAAATGGAATGCTGAGTAACAAGAAGCAAGTTGCAGAAGTTAGAAGGTGGTTATGCGAATGGTCGTTACATTACTTTAAATGTATCTTTATATACCTTAACTATTGTGCAATAACACAAACTCCTCACAAAAGAAAGACCTGTCCCCAGTACATCAGTAGAGAGCTCCTTTCCTGGGCTGTAGCTCCATGCATGAGGTGGTCAGTTTTAGATAAGAATGTGCCTTTAACGGTGGGAATATAGCAAATTAAACCTGTGTTTGACAGGCTGGTTCTTTCAAATAACTCGAGAAACAAACGAAATACCTTGTGATTGCTCTGTAGTGATGGAACAAGAAACAAGAATCTTCAACATTTAGTGAGGGCTAAGGGCCAACAAGTTTGTGCAATTTGCATCCTCAGGTAAATTTACAAATTAAAATGGATTAAATTCAGCTCTTCCAAGGGGTCAAGTCCAGTGGGTTAAGTCACTTGTCAGAGAAAGCTAAAATTGGTCATAGGTCCACTTAAACTAGAATCTTGACATTTGCTATATCAATTTAATCATCTTGAATTAAAATAAAATGCAGGACATATTGGGGGACCTTTTACAAAAGCAGTAGAAAACCAGTACAGTACAAAGGACACCACACACACACACACACACACACACACGCATGCACACCAAATACTCAAGTAATTGGAACATGCTTAGCCTATACTGAACGCTGGTGTTTCAGAAATTTCGTTTATATTAAACCCCATGTAGCAGTAGAAAGGAAACAGGCTGACCTGGGTTTGAATTTTGGTCCCACCAATTCATAGAGACAAAGGACGTACCTCCTTTTGGCCTCAGTTTCATCCTCTATAAAGTGGGATCACAGAATTACTTAGAGGGTAATGATGGGCATTGTAACACTGTTTGCAATAGCAAAAGCTTGTAAATAGGGTTAAATCAATCAGAGTAGGTTCTTATTATGAATCAATACATAGCCCAAAAAGAATGAGATAACTATGTACTCTTACGGAAAGGTGCTCATGTCATATGATCAAATGAGCAAAAACAGTTGCAGAATGATACATAAAGGGTTACCCCTTTTAAAAAGAAAATGTTCTTTTTAAATATCCTCTTTTTCTCATTTTTTTTCTTTATTTATCTATGCAAAAGCTCAGAAAGGATTCACACCAATCTTTTTATGGTTATCCTGGGGGATGGGAATGGGGAGAGAAAGTCTTTAAACTTATAAACTTCACTTTTGTTTTAAATAGATAGCTTAATTGTTTTAAAAAGGAAGAGGAAGATGTAAAGTCTGCTTTGTAATGATATGAAAAGTGAGGTGATTTTATGCAAACTTCCAAGCACCTGGCCAGGCATTGAATGAGCAATCAAATAAGATATAATAATAATATGTTTTATTTGCATAATATGTATTGTTTGCATAATAGCACATAGAAATAATACACTAAAGGCATCTAATATTCATTCATTTAATCTTTCTATCATTTGTTCATTCGTATATCCTTCCCAGGCAACACTCAGTGCAATTAACTCCATTTCCATTATGTCAGCAGAGATGAAGTGATTATTCCTGGTCTTGGGGTGAAACTTGCTAGAACTTTGGCTTTGACCCTATTGCTCCCCCATTTCTAGGACACCCTGGGATGATACATATCTGTGTTTGAAAATGGCAACAACTTTGTTTTACTTACACCAGAGTTGCCTCCAGGTTCTCTTTCTGCAGCTGACACAGGCTGACTGTCCCCCAAGGTCTCTCTGTGTAGTTCCTTCTAACTGGGAGTTTATAGCTGGGGCGAAGGGATCCATACTCGCTCCCCTGAGAATCTTGTGTTCCAAGGGCTGAGACAGAATTGGAATAAACAATGTTCAGTAGTTATTTTCTGCTGAAGAACATTTAAGCTTTCTAGAGAGGATACATTTAATTTATGTTACTCTCATTAAAGATGTGTGTGTGTGTGTGTGTGTGTGTGTGTGTGTGTGTGTGTGTGTGTGTGTGTGTCCTTCTTAAAGAACAACTCCTTAAAAAATTTTTCTTGTTTTGAATCAGGTTGAACATCTTTTCATAGATCTAAAACTCTGTTTTTAGGTCAACATAATCAGCAAAATACATGGCTCTCTGAAAAAAAAAGGAATTCAAAGCCAACCTAAACTTAAGGGCATATGGTCCCTAGTGTGATAAACAGAGTTACTACTATTTGAACACGTTTTATATTATCACATTAACC